ATTTATCTATAGATGTATATTGATATATATATTCAAAATGAATCGGATTGTTTAAAAATGTTAATTCTTACTTAAAAATATACTCATGCATATCTATATGCGTTTGGGTTTTGTTTCTCGGTATCACAATCGCACTATACCCTTTAAGTATACCAATCTTTCTCAATTCTGATTTGTTTTTTTTTGGAATCACTAGTTGGGTCGCCGATTCTGTGACATAAAAAGTGATGACGGCACAGTGCGAATTGATGAGAATCCATGGACAGTGCGCACAGAGATATCTCGCATCACAGAGATGAACACGTCTCTGCTCTACGTCGATGTCGTGGCTGAGAAGGTGTGTGTTTATGAACGGTCATATATATATATATATTTATATGTATAAAATACTACCTTTATTGTTTATGTATTCACAAGTTATTTCTATTGCACCACACAGCGTATGAACATTACAGTCACACACAACATGTTGGAAACATGGTACCGTGTCAGTGCGTCGTTAGAGGATGACTACAAGCTGACACTCATGGGCGAGATGAATATAAAAAAGGATGCTACGCGCCAATCCCCCGTGCGACTGGTCAACAATACCGGGTGCACGTAAGTCCTAAACTTGGTTAAAATGCTATACATACCTTTTTGAAATGCTTTGTATACCTGGTTGATACTTGAAATGCTATGTTTACCTGGTTGCTGATTGAAATGCTATGAAAACCTGGTTTTAGTGCTGTGATAGCCTAGTTTCGATTGTGGTTATGATCAGGGTACACATAGAAAAGTCAAGTAGGATGCCACGCGGGAATCACCCGTACGACTGGTCAGCAATACCGGATGTACGCTAGTCGTAAACCTGGTTGATTCGCTGTGGTTGAAATACTGTGTAAACCTAGTTGAGCTGTTGCGTAAACCAGGCTGTAATCGCGCGTGTTATGTCAGACTACCTATATAGAAGATAGAAGAAGTCAAGTTTGATGCCACACGACAATCCTCGAGCGCTTGGCCACCATTGTGGAGTGTGTTTGAGTTGTAAACCTGGTTGCAATGTTGGATAAAGTTGGTTTTACTGGTGCGTATAGCTAGTTATGTGAACTGTATATTTCTCTTGCGCTTTGGGCTCAATCCCAACTAGTATTCATCTGTAGCATGTGCCGTCCAAACCTCTGCCATGTCACTGGATGGTATTGACGTGGTGTCAACAATGTGTCAACCGCTCACTCTCAACAGTATATGTGTAAAGA